GCGGGAAGATGCGTTCCCGTTTACTGTTTCGAAACACGAGAGAGAGAGAGAGAGAGAGAGAGAGAGAGAGAGAGAGAGAGAGAGAGAAGGGTGGCGTGCCCCCCCTCTCTCTCTCTCTCTCTCTCTCTCTCTCTCTCGCTCGTTTCGAGAAACCAAACGGGAATGCATCTTCCCGCTATCACGGGAGGATGCATTCCCGTTTCGTATTTCGAAACGAGACTCTCTCTCTCTCTCTCTCTCTCTCTCTCTCTCTCTCGCGCGCGCGCGCGCACACGTGACTTCAGCTGTTTTTCCGTTGTTTTTTTTTTGTTTGTGTATTTCATTTTTTTTTTTTCTTTCTTTTTTGTTTTTTTCTCTACTGTGTCGTCCCTACAGAAGCGGGGCCCAGCGTCCGCGCTACGACCGGGCCTTCCCTTGGCCGAGCCCCCTAAGGCTGCGGCGCATATACGGGAAGGCCCGCGGCCGATAGCTGAGCGAGGTACTGGTGGTTTAAAAGAAACTCAAGACAAAATTCTACCCAACTGATTGGGTGTAAGAAACAACAGAATACAAGAGGCAAAAAAAAAATCAGATCAATATTCCAAAATGCACTTCTACTCAACCCAATCTTCTTCCTCTAGCACCTGCACAGCAGGATGCATCTGACAGGCGTACCATGCTGAAAGAACTCCCCTCAAGACTGTAATAAGCCAAACCTCCAAGTTCCAACAACCTACGATTTATGTTTTACACAAGCAGCACCAGCTTTTAGAGTCTGGAAAATGCCCTTGATTCTTTATTACCTCGCTCCTTCCAACCTCTTCCATATCCTGCTCGTCTGTTCCCCTTGGCAATTGAATCAAGCCCTCCCTTCTGCAGACCAGTTTCCACCATTAGACTTGCGGCTGTACGAAGTCTTGCATTCCACAGGTAAAAGTGAAAAAATGTGCTGTTGGAAGTCACCATTGTGCCAAGACCTCCCTTACACAGACAGGTTTGGCTCTTGGACATGAAGACTGAAGCCACAGAACCAGTTTCTCCCTATGCCAGACACGGTTGGGCTATTAAACTCATGGCTAAACCAAACCCTCCCTTCTGAAGACAAGGTTCTGTTATAGAACTTGTCTCAAGTTCAAACCAATTCATCACTGAGAATTATTGATCTTTGCTAGCATTCGTCATCCTTCTCAGCCTTCATTGACCTTTCTTGGCATTCATCAATACTCTTCAGCCTTTGTTAATCTTTGTCAGGTTCCACAGACATTGGTCAGCCCTTGCCAATCTTTCTCCGCCACCATCGCCTTTTTTTATGAGTGGATAATGGTGCCTCAATTAGTAACATTTTGAAGAGGCAAACTGATGGAAACATCTCCAGCTCGCATAACCAACAGGCATTCACATATAGAATCATAGATCCCTGTTTTTTCACTTCGTCGTTCGCTTTGTCAATCTTTCTGAGCCTTCTCAGTTATTGGCCTTCATTGACCACCAGATTTCACAGCTTCAACAACGACTAAACAGAGGCCCTGCACATTCTTCTTCCTTTTTCGTTTTTTCTTCCACTCCAGTCCATGCAGCTGTGTCCAGATACACAGACCAGAACATGTTTGCATCCTTCGAGCTCCCCCAAAACCTGTTCAATTCCCAGATGAGAATCCGCGGGGAAAGAACCATCCTCTGCCATGACAATGTAGGCAGTGATCACAAAGCCAAGAGGGGAACAAAGAGTATGCGCAATCCCCAGTGCTTCTGCGCTTCAGAGAAGTTCAAACCTTTGGAGAATGACATCTTGGTGGCTCGCACTTTTGGGCCGCATATGCTGATTTGAGTGCCCAGTCAGATGATGGCACATTGACTTCCATCGTTTGATCTACATCGGCCTTTCAGCACATCAATGTTCACCTCAGGTTGTCTCCAATGCCCTTCTGTAATCTCTTTGCGTGCAGCTTGGGCAAGGTTTACCAATGTCTGTCAATGCCACGTTTCTGTATCCAGTGAGAAAAAGCTTACGTATTGGTCCCTGTGTTGACTGATATTCTTGAGGTTTCCAGAGTTTCAATCCACAACCGAGGTGGATGGACCTTGAATGTACATATCAAGAAGCACCGCTGCCACCGATAGGTTTGGTGGTGGGTACACCCATCCTCTCCCCCAAGTTCACGGCTGCCGATTCCGCTTTTTCAGTCGTACTTCTTACACCATCCTTGGTCTGCTGATCACATGCAGAAGAGGACAAGAAAGGGCAAGAAAGTTCAAGATCCTAACCAAAACTTTCCTTCACTGTTAAGTGAAGGCACACACAGCACAGGACTCAAACGAAAACTACAACTAGAACCACAACAAGAATCCATACAATAAAATGAATCTTTCTTTTTCTTTTCTTTTTTTAAATAAACTTTCCCTCCAGTGCTAGTGGTGCTGGTGAGAGCAGGCACCACTAGCACCTGGGGAGAGGGTCCATCTATTGGTGGGAAGCATCACCTGCCGGAAAACGGGTCCAGCGTCCCATATGAATCTCAAATCTTGAAGGCTTCAAAACTTTCATGGAGGCAATTTATGCCTGCCTGATGCTTAAGTGGGATTTTGTATGATCTCTTTCCAGATTCATTCACTCCCCACTACGCATTTCCTTCCTTCCCTATACTCTTAGAGATGCACAGGGCTCAGCATCATGCCTCCCCCCCTGCAACGGCTCAGCATCATGCCCACCCCCCTTGCAAAGGGCTCAGCATCATGCCCCCCCCCTGGGCCCACGAACCGGAGGCCTGTTCGCAACTCCCGTGGAGCCGGGAGGCCCGTTTGCTCACGAGTCCGAGGAGCTGTGGTTTTTTTCTTTTAGTCCGCAAAGCGCGTCGTTTCGTTCTCAGTTCTGTTGGAAAGCGCCTGGAGAAATGGGGCCCAACGAGGCGCCTCGCTGCAAAAAAAGCAAGACGGGCGCAAAAGACAAAAAAATATGGCAACAGATCTTTCCATGTTCGATTGGAGGATTGTCTCATTGTGCACATTCGGAGAGTAGTTGAGGTTGGCCCGTTGTCGAGCGCATCGGTCCGGCACCGCAAAAGGCAGCGTGGGACCCTCCTCTGCTGGCTTATGCGGTGCCGGACCGATGCGCTCGACAGGTGGCGCCGTTGCCGGGGATAACGGTTGCCTGCCGTTGTCCTTGGTGGAATGACATCCGGGTATGGGAATGTGAGAAATAGGCAAAGTGGGAAGTTTGATTGAGCCTTTTCAGATTAATTGATTGATGGTATTGGATAAAATACCGAGTGAAGGTTGACTGTGCGAGTTGACTTTGCTTGGTGCCGTACAGGTGGCATGAGAGCGATAAGCATTTTGACTATGCGCTTACGCACTTTGACTGATAAGATGGTAGTTGGAAATAGTACCTCTTCTTACCACGATAGTTGACTGGTTTGGACGTGCTTTGCATTGTTGGTATAGTCAAGGTAAGATAAGATGGCATCGGGCGCAGAACGTCCATCGAGAGAGTTGACCGTATAAGGTACCTATTATGGCTTTGGAGTGAGGCTGAGGGTGTGTAAAGGGGCCTATTAAGTTAGAAGTCGTCGAGGGACTTCAAGGAGGGTTAGGCTAAGCATGGACTGAGATCCTGGAGTCTGGGTTCTAAGCGGTTGTTCGACCTATATAGTCATGATAATGTGAGGTCTGCCATGCGTAATGTGTTTGAACTAGGCATGTGAGGCAGTAGATAGATGCAGGGAACACCATGCTATGACCTCAATGGAAAAGACTACGAAACGTAGTAGGTCTGCATAGTAACCTCTCTGCGAGAAATATATCTGATCCTTGGGGCAGTTAGGATAGCCGTGAAAGGGCTAACACTTAGACTGCTTTGCTTACTTTTTGTACGGCACCAAGATGTAGGTGATGTTAGACCTTCACTTGAACCTTTCCAGGCTTGGACCATCCATTTGAATCTATGGGGTTGGAGTTAAGGACTTGAGACTATTATCTTCTAAAAGCATTTTCGTTTGAGTTATATGTTGAACTCATCCATATATGCCAGATCTAATGTAAGTAAATACGCCTAGTGTCTGGTTATATGTGCTTGATGTTTTTAGGAATATTTATACGGGTTATTTATTTCAGGTATGTATTTGAATTTATTGGATCTATATGACTGTCTCAAGTTCGTTTATTGATTTATGGCTGTCTGTTAAAGTCTGTGCATTTGGATTGTTCTTCAAAGAGTGGTAAAAGCATTGCGCAGAATCCACGTCTGATGCGGATTCAGAGGTGAATGGAGTGACTACTTCCTTGGGATAAGTTCCTCTCAGGGAATAGTCAATGTGTAATGTCTTCCCTAAGGAAGGTTGCAATCCTGTGTTATCGTCCCCCTGAGAGGTGGCTTTGAATAAGTTATGATCTTGTCTTATAAGTAGTAGTGAGACCCACGCCGGAATTAAGTTCCTGGTTCATAGTGGGGTGTTGTTGTTATATCTCCTGTGATAAAATAACTACACTACCACTGAAAAGGAGGAGAGTATTTGAGTCTTGTTAGACTTTGGCCT